GACAACCATTTTCCCTTAAAGGGAAAGTCCAAAGTGCTTTACAAAGACAAAAACAAGCAACTGTAGATTCAAAGCTGCGACAAACTGAGGCGGCTTTGTTTCTAGCTGACGGAAATGAGAGGAAGCCGAATGCAAACGAGTTCATCACTCACATGATGAACTCGTTGGGCTGGCAGACGACGGACGCCACCCCCCCGATGATGATCCAGGGGTTGACCACCGTCTGGCCGCCCGTCACCGAGGTGCCGCCCTCCTCCGCCGCGTCCCGGAAGCCGCGGATCATCAGCGGCATCACCCGCTCCCGGTCCTGCAAACAGGGGGGAAAAGACCCGTTTCAGAAGCCAAAAACGTTATTATTTGATATCAACATCTGTTTATAAGCTGTACTTCAAGACAAAACACAACAGTCTGGTGTTTTTAAACCACAAAAAGAACCAAAAAAGAGGAAAAATTTGGTCTAATGAGCTATTCAGAGATCAGACGATACTCCTGATGTTGTTGCTCTCAAAGGGAACAAATAACTTTATGACAGAATCTGTTGTTTACTTTTAATAAATAAATAAACAAAAGTATTAATTAGGGATGTCCCTAATAGAGCATGTGTTAAAGTTTAAAGTTATTTATCTACTTACTTAGTTGTCAGACTCATGTTGAACAGGGATTTACTCTGATAACTTAATGGTTAGGACACACACCTGTGGTTACAGATGCTAATGCTAATGCTAATGGTGTGTGGGATCGGACTTTTAAATAAAACTGGATCTGGAGTCTGGATCTTCATTTTCTCCAGCCGGCCGATCCGATCCAGATATCAGTTCGGGACCAGTTTATTATTAATATCAATGTACGATATCCTTTTTAGCTGCTGTTAGCAATAAAGAACAGAGAATGTAGATGTCGGTTTGTTGTATTCACAAACAGATGAGGGACACACAAACCGAGTAAATTATTTAACCCTTTAATGCCGAATGTGTCATATTTGATAAGTACGGTTTCTAAAATGTTTTGCGTCTGACACCTTTTGCATAATTTAATGTAAAAACTTTGCTCAAAATCCTATTGAACACAATCAGATACACCTGATAACAGGGGGCAGAAGACTACACAAAAAATAATCTTGACTTAAGGCATAGTAATAAATTATTAATATAAAAATGTATTTCTGTTTTTTCTTTTTACATATTTTGTTAAAAGGCCAAATAAAAATTTCAAAACAAAAAAAAAGTAATTTTCTGTTTTGTTTTTATTCTTGGATCAGGCTTTAAAGGGTTAAAGCTATTCAATCCAAACTGGTGTCTGAGGTAAAAACCTGGCCATGGGACTTGCTTTCAGGTATTGTTATCCAGAAAAAAAGAAAAAGTGTCTCGAATCTAACATTTTTTCCACCATTTCTGACCCAGATCTGGTGGTTTTCCATGTTTTTTTTTAAACTGCTTTGATCTCGGAGCCTGAATCTGAAACATATCTGATGTTTTTTCGGCTTTTATCTGTGAGGCAGACGTCACACGGTGCAGGAATAACAGTTTTCAGGTGTTTTCTGATGCTAAAAACATGGAGCAGAGACTGTGTGGCTGCTACCTTGTCGTTCATCTTCTGGCTGACGCTCAGCAGCATCAGCATGTTGTCGCACTCGGTGATGCCCATGGCGTAGAGGTCGCTCAGCACGTTGGCGCACGCTATCCGGCCCTGAGAGGCGGGAGACAGAAAACCAGACGCCCCGCCTGTCAACAACCTCCAAAAGTTCACATTTAATGCAGAAAGGACGGCCCCACCAACCAGAAACAACCCGTTATTACCATTTTTAGCTTTTCTGATTCTCTGTTTTTAGGTAGTTTTTTTCTTGTTCCCACATCTGGGAACCTGAGGTTATCCTTATTATATATATATATATATACATAAATGTAGAATAATTGGCCCTTCAAATCGAGCACGTCTTCCACCCTTTAAATCTCTCCAGAATTCTTTTGCAGCATCATCCCTGCAAACAGGAGTTTGTTTGGACCATCCTAGTTGGTTTCCCAACAAAAAGGCTGCAAAAGGAGGGATGGGAATGAAGCTCAGAGGGAAAAGTGAAGCTAAACTCACCATCATGTACACCCCACGTGTCAGAAGCCTCCAAAAGTTCACATTTAATGCAAAAACAACGGACCCACCAACCAGAAACCACCCATTATTACCATTTTTAGCTTTTCTGATTCTCTATTTTTAGTTAGTTTTTTTCTTGTTCTGAGGTGATTCTTATTTATTAGAATATGTACTCTCATGGGCAACATCCCATCTCAGATGGATGAGGAAAAACCTTTCATAAAGGTGAGAGTCAGAGTTTTTACACTAAAGCTGACTCTGCAAAACTTTTAACTTACAAATTATGCTGACTCTCTGGAAGATCAGACTTAATAATCATATATATATATAAATAAATGTATAATAATTTGCCCTTCAAATCGAGCATGTTTTCCACTCTTTAAATCTCTCCTGAATCCTTTTACACCATCAATCCTGCAAACAGGAGTTTATTTGGACCTTCCTGGATGGTTTCCCAACAAAAAGGCTGCAAAAGGAGGGATGGGAATGAAGCTAAGAGGGAAAAGTGAAGCTAAACTCACCATCATGTACACCCCACGGGTCAAAAGCCTCAAAAAGTTCACATTTAATGCAGAAAGGAAGGCCCCACCAACCAGAAACCACCCGTTATTACCATTTTTAGCTTTTCTGATTCTCTATTTCTAGTTAATTTTTTTCTTGTTCTGAGGTGATTCTTATTCATTAGAATATGTACTCTCATGGTTAACATCCCATCTCAGATGGATGAGGGAAAACCTTTCATAAAGGTGAGAGTCAGAGTTTTTACACTAAAGCCGATTCTGCAAAACGTTTAACTTACAAATGATGCCGACTCTTAGGAAGATCAGATTTAATAATCATATATATATAAATAAATGTATAATAATTTGCACTTCAAATCGAGGATGTCTTCCACTCTTTAAATCTGTCCTGAACCCTTTTGCAGCATCAGCCCTGCAAACAAGAGTTTGTTTGGACCGTCCCTCTGGTTGGTTTCCCAACAAAAAGGTTGCAAAAGGAGGGATGGGAATGAAGCTAAGAGGGAAAACTGAAGCTAAACTCACCATCATGTACACCCCACGGGTCAAAAGCCTCAAAAAGTTCACATTTAATGCAGAAACCACGGCCCCACAAACCAGAAACAACCCCGTTATTACCATCATTAGCTTTTCTGATTCTGTACTTTTAGTTAGTTTTTTTCTTGTTCTGAGGTGATTCTTATTTATTAGAATATGTACTCTCATGGGCAACATCCCATCTCAGATGGATGAGGAAAACCTTTCATAAAGGTGAGAGTCAGAGTTTTTACACTAAAGCTGACTCTGCTAAACTTTTAACTTACAAATGATTCCGACTCTTAGGAAGATCAGATTTAATAATCATATATATATAAATAA